AGTTTGCGTTGTCAATATAATCCTCCTTCTCCTTAGCTTCGTGAAAATAAACGAAAGTTTGTTTTATTAGACGTATGCAACAATGAGAAAGAAAAAATAATTCCCATCGATAGGATAGGCAGGCTCGGAATGTGCATGCATGTTTCTTTTCATATACATATCATGCTTCATTTCTAATTCTAATCCGCTTGAAAGCTTCTATTGATACTAGCACGATGTAAAATGGAAAATGTGATTTCGTTTACTTGGTGGTTCATTGATCTTCGGTATGCATTATTTAACATGCAAGAACCTACGTTGAATACGCGTATCGACTGTCAACGAGGGATAAGACTAAAGTTGTTAACGTTAAGTCGCGTCGTAAATTAAGAATGCCGTTCCGAGACAGGATATATCGTAAAAGCGAGACCCGCTAGATAGTTCGTCGCTAAGGTTTAATATTCGCAAATTCTGCAGGAAGTTTGCCCACACATATGTAGCTGATCTCGCTTTGAAAGGAATTGAAGCAATTGACTTCGTGTAACACGCGCCTGTTTAAAACTATCCTCCTCATTCTTCTCTTCTCGTTGTCGTCTCAAGTTTTTACACCCACGCGGGTTCTTCCGTCGATAAATACCTTTATTTTTGAGGTCGAGACAAAATTGAGAAAAGAGATTGAAATAAAACGATATGGGGCGCGGGCGAAAAGGAAATTTTTAATAATGATAAAAAATGATATTATTTTTCAAGGTTTCGATATAAAATTTTTCAACGTTGTACATTGTTTTATCGAAGACGGTGGGTTGCACGATCGCAAAGTGAACAAAATGAAAGTAAAAATATGTGTATGGCATGATCCGTGCGTGCATGCGACTTTACTATGTCTCTTCTTCTTCTTTTTCTTCTTCTTTTCTATTCCTCCTCCACCACCCCTTTACCCCCCTTATGAATTACGAATTGCTGCTATGCTTTTGAGCAATGGTGCGCGAATGACGCAAAGCAAACTGTACATATATAGGTAAAGCCGGTCGGCTGAGTGACATCATTGTTATCATTTAGTACGTTTGTTCTTGTCGCTGAACTCCGCAGCAGATCCTCCCGAGGTCCCCGAGGACCAGAGGACACAGGCCACTGATCAAGGTGAGTTTCAGTCCTGTAATGTCCTTTGGGGTAATATTATCGCATTTCTTTTTTTCGTCTCTTCTCGAGTATCACTTGTAATAATAGAATATTAATTTCATGAAATTCTCTACATTATCTCCATCTTTATTTGCATATAAATATATATAAAATATATATATATATATATAAATATATATATATATATAAATATATATATATATATAAATATATATATATATATAAATATATATATATATATATATCTTTTTTCTGGATTTTTTTTTTTAAATGAACATTTTTTATGAACGATAATCCAGGCAATTTATTGCGACTTTTAGTCGTAATATATTCCATGTATATATGTAAATATGTAATTTGTTCAAAATAACAAATAACTAACAAAAAAGTGTTGAGTCCTCCGAATTTTAATATACTACGTAATCTCTATAACTTCATTCACATTATTTCAGTACTCAAAGGTAATTCCTCGCCTGTACATTCGAGGCCTACGTTTAGCGATAATCCAGCCGATACCAAAGAAGAAAATGATGGTTTGTTTCTTCTTGAACACGCATTTATCATTTTTATATTGTTTAATTTTAATAACACAAATTTTTATAATGCATCAGCGACTGATTGTATATCGGATAGACGATCGGTGTTGGAAGATCAAAGACAAAATTCACAAGAAAAGTTTTATATACCACAATGCACACCAGATGGTAGATATCATCGTGTACAATGTTATTCCGGTTATTGTTGGTGCGTTTATCAAGATACAGGAAAACCTATACCTGGTACATCTTCGAAAGACAGTACACCAAATTGTAATCCAGCACCTACACCTAGCAGACCAATGAAGGGTATATATTTATTTTTCTTATTTAAAAATACGAATGTAATTTATTTCAAATTGTTTGCTTTTTCTTTTTTCTATTAGGATGTCCCGAATTGAAGAAACAAATTTTCCTACGAGACTTGATGGATTTAATGCAAAAGAAAATGAAAGCGTCTAGTACGGATTCGAGCGAGATAACAGCCAACTGGCAGGCTTCCAAAGAAGAACAAGTAGCCACGTGGCACTTCGTAATGCTCGATAAAAACAAGAATAAGGTGTTTAATTAATTTTTATTTATTATTTGTCACGATATATCGCTAATAGTAACGTACGTTTATCTTAATGAAGTCTTAATTATAGATTTTAGAAAGAAAAGAATGGAAGAGCTTTCGCATCATGGTCTCCAACAATAGATTGCTTCGTAAATGTGGCAAAAAATTGCCTAGGTATTGTGATATTAATAATGACAGAAGAATCAGTATGACGGAATGGTTGAGTTGCCTGAATGCTCAACATCTGGTAACAGGTAAGTTTTTCTATCAAAGATATTTTATTTTAACAAATGATAATTTTTTTTTATTGTCTCAATAATATATTTATTAGCTGAAAATCCGGAAAAATCATCTACAAACAAGCCAAAGAGGATGGGTCCTAATCCATTGGATCAATTTCTCAATGATGACGATTAATAGAAACCCTTTGTGATATATACATTATCATTTAATCTATGCAATGTGAAAGCATTGTGATAATTTAGTATTATTCAATCATAGAAATTATTTGAAAATAAGATTGAAAAATTCGAAAAGTCATTTATTAATTTTACGTTATTCTTTTACTTCGTATTTGACGATGAACGCGAATTTCATCATTTTCCATACATAATGTTATCAATCGTTGGTAATCTATTAATGGGATAAAGAATTATTTCTTCATTTTTCAATTATTACTTTATCCGAAATATTCACTTTAATTACTTTTAAGGGATAATTGAATGTAAATCAAAATAAAAAAACATTGTATATATAAAAATCAATTGTAATTTCAACGATAAACAACAATGGTAAATTTGTGAATATATTTTTGTATACTTGTCTTAAAAATATAGATACTGTTCGTAATATTATTCCAATAGTATCTATGTACATATCCAAGATCTGCTTTTATTATCATAAAAGATAAGATGAACACAGAAATGTAAGAACCGAGAAGATTCGAATGTTTATCTCGATTTCATTATTAAAAGTCCGACAATCCATATTATGGTACAATGAATCATACAAGAGTTTTTACAAATACAATTACACGCCAGATTATATATTAGTACATTAGATTAAGGACTGTGATGAGTCTTATTGTTAGAGAATAAAACCATAAATTTAAACGTACTTTATAAATTTATGTAGATCTTTAAACTCCATTGTTTAATTTATATTTGAATACGTGTGTGCGTCTTGCTTGGATATAAGAGCACAGGTATGTGTGTGTATGTATGTAAATATATATATATATATAAATACAAAGAATAATGCATTTATCAGATCATAATTACGTACAAAAGATAACAAATTTATATCCACATCCTCACGCATACGTATACACACACACACACACAATTTACACAATTCTTTCACGCTCAGTTTCATGTAACACTTTTATAATCTAAACAATTAAATTTTATTCATAATTTCACTTGATAAATACACAGTGGTATCGCTGACATGTTTACATATGTTACATTTTTGTATAAGTTATTATACATTATATCCTTATAATGAAATCAACAATTATAGAGAGGTAACGATGCTAAACAGAGGGTATAAAATATATATACAATGGTGTTAAATGACAGGCTAAACGAAGAAATAAAAGGGAAAAAGATACTGCTAGAGACACAAATAGGATTCAGGAAAAACAGAAATACAATAGAAAACATATAGATCTAACAGCATATGATAGAAAAGAAATTAAATAAAGAAAGAGAGAATTAATGGCATTTCTTAGATTTAAGAACACCATTTAATACAGTAAACAGAGAAGTACTGAGAAAGTTAAAGGGAAAGGCAGAAATAAGAAGGGACCTAATTTAGAGAAAAAGGAAATTTTCATAGAAATAAAAAACAAGATAAAAATAGTTTAAGAGAAAAGTCAGAAAACTTCTAAATAAATGAAGAAGTTTTGCAAGAATGCCTCATGAGATCAAATCTTTTTACAATACTGATTGTAGATTTAAAAGAAATATTAAGGAAAAGATAAGAAAAAACGAATGGCGTGTATAAAAGAAACGATGAGAGATTCGAAAGGAAAAAATTGAAATTGTACGACAAAAGATCAAAAATTATTAGACAGTAAATAATATTGAGAAAGTCAAAATATTTACATATATAGGGGAAAAGAAAAAGTTGAAATCATGGCTGGCACACGTCGAAGAATGTGGTTACAGTCAAATAAGAGTAGAACAGCAATTGAACAAAGAGAAAAAATTAAAAACAATACTGAAAGAAAGGTATGATAAAAATTGAATCATTAGAATAAAATATAAACTACTAAACTATATCACAAGATATAAAGTATCATGCGTACTTTAAAGTTTAAAGTACACTTAAAAGTACCAAAGAGTTCCTTTTAGGAACATTGTATTAAACGAAATTAGATTAAGTTTATTTTAAGTTAAAAAAGACTGTAACTAATTTATGAGTTATAAAATTAATAGTTTATATGTTTGTATTTTGTAATATCGAGTCCTTTTTCTTGGCTTATTGGGCCATAATGAATAATATTAAATATATTATATTCTTATAAAAAAGACTAAAAAATAAAAATGCTATGGGACGCATTCATTATTACATATGCTAATCTTATTAATTTATTTAGAAAACTCGATCTTGATATCCACTATCGGCCATACTTGAACTAGGTTTTGTCGGACCACCTGGTACTTGATGATGAGGATGTCGCATATGACCTGGTCGTCTTGGTGGTGCTAGATATTCAAACATACTTTGTGTATGTTGTGCTAACATTTTACTGAGATCACAAGGCATTGGATCAGTCCAGAAGAAGTCGTGATTTAAAGCAGAATCAGAATCGTATCTTTTACTAGGATCAAGGATAAGAAGTTTATCCAACAAGTCACATGCGTACGGATCTTTTAAATATGGCTTCAGTCTATCTTTAACCTAAAAATTAAAACAAATATTAATTCAATATAATTTTAATAAATTGCACATATCTTTTTATTTCTTGAATTATCTCAGCTTACTTTTCTTTTCTGCCCTTTGGGTAGATCCATTTTATTAAATAATTCTAAACGTTCTACTCCTGGCCAAACTTCAGTCGTTATAGAACCACATAATTGTGAAATTAATATTAATTGTTGTTGTTCTGTATTACCTTGCATTATAGGCGATCTTCAAATTAATTAAAATAATATCCACACTTGTTAATGCACGCACTCATAAACTAATTTAGAATATCATTCATATTTTATTAATTAATTTATGAATATACCTTGTCCACATTTCAGCCATTATACATCCGGCGCCCCATAAATCTACTGGTGGGCCATAATTTCTATCTCCTAATAATAACTCCGGAGGCCTGTACCAAAGAGTAACAACTCTATTTGTGTAACGATTTGGTTGACCATTCTTACTAGTGCTAAATGCTCTTGCTAAACCAAAATCAGCCAGTTTTAATATGCCATTTTTTGTAATTAAAACATTCGCAGCCTTCATATCTCTATGTAAAATCTGGAAGTAGTTGATTAATAATGAACTTCTCATTATTTGATATACCTATATCAAATATCATTTCTATGTAAACTTACCTTATTACTATGAATATAATACAGGCCATTTAACAATTGCTGCATGACCTTTTTAATTTCTCCTAAACTAAATTTAACATTTACATTGGATAACAAACCAGCAAGATCATGTTCGCAAAAATCAAATACGAGGTAAAAAGTAGACCGATATCGATTGTACTGTGTCGCTGCAAAAGTTCCTAGTTATATTTTATACACCTTGATGTACATAAAGTAAATGAAAAAGTATAAAAAAAAATTCTTACCTCTTGTTCTACAAATTTCTATAAGATTCACTACATTTTCATGCTTCAATAATTGTAATATTCTTATTTCTCTTAGTGCAGTTATAGGAAACTGAAAAAAGAAATAGGATCGTACTTATTAATACTTTATAAATTCTGAAAATATAGAATTATTTATAAATATACTGATATGTTTTGTTTTATATACTCATTTAGACGGCAGAAATAAATTTAGTTTATTTATTTATTCATACAATTACACGAGTCTATAAAGAAGAAATTTATAAAAAAAAATAACATAAATAATATGTTGACAATTTGTTAACATATTTTAACTCTTTGCAGTCAAACTTCCAGGTCATAAACGAAAATATTTGTTCATCCATTTACTTCATTGAAAACGAAAATTTTAAGGAAAACGATATTTTCTGATATAAATGTATATCAATGTTCTAAGAAGTTATTGGTAGTAATAAAAAAAAACGCGCATTCTAAAGATCTACGGCATTTTTTCATAAAATAAAATATAATGAATCCAAAATGTTCTCATTCTATACATACCCCTTCTTTCTCATTATCCATCAAAACTTTTTTCATAGCTACGAATTTTTTATTAGTTTTTTTATCCCTCGCTTTGAAAACTTCTCTATAATTCAATAAAAAATGTAAAATATTAAACGTTTTTAAAGAATACACATGACCTAACCTAAAGATTGAAATAACAAAATGTAAAAATTTTACCCGAAAGTACCCTGGCCAATTTTTGCGACTTTTTCATATTTAGAAGATTCATCGCAATGAGGAAAATCAAATTCTTCGATATATTTTTCTTTTTCTTTTGTATTCATATTGTTTGCTCCAAACAAAAAATAATACAAAACATTAATTCACAAAACTCGTAACACTGATGTTTTGATATATAGCTATAGCTTTAAAAATTTAGTATTACTTGTAAAGGGAACTCAAGCTTCCCATAACCTCTTAATTTATTGGGCAAAAGTAATTCATTCTGATTCGTCCATATACTATTTCCAGCTTATTAAAGACAATTTATTAATTGTAAAAAACTAAATTAATTTTTAACAGTAAAAAAACTAATATAATCCCCTATTTTTTACAATAATAGAAACTAAGGGATTTCATTTATAAAATTAATCAATTATTATGTATTATCAAAAATTGTCAGAAACGTTCTTTGAGTATATGGCTTTATGATGTTTTATTATTCACCATAAATTATTCATAATCTTTTATTGTACAATATGAAGTGCAGTAAAATAGTCAATTTGGTTAACGTGCAATTATTTATGGAAGTAAATATTTAACGTTAATGGAAATAAATATTTAATATTAATAACAGTAATATAATTTTTACAATGGGCATTTTAGGTAGGAATTGATATATATTTTGGCGCTATAAGAATGGCATAATAAATTGTATATAAATATTTTTTATTTATTTGTAGTTGGTTTATATTGTTTGAAAACGTACAAAATAGTGTAATTTTTATATAATATATTGCTTTGATTATGTGTAGTATTTTAACAAAAGTGAATTTTTAATTTCATATAATTTTTAATATCTTCCTTGAAAAAAATTTTGTTTTAAGTATATATAAAAGGTTAATATGTTATTTTAGATTATCAACTTCTTTTATTTAAGTATGTCTCTTATATATATATTGTTAAAAATGATCTAAACACCATGACAACGGTCACAATATAATTGTATAATATAACAATATAAACAAAATGATTTTTTTGTTTCAGTCAAACGAATTACTAGTATATTAAGAATAACGTCTAGAACTCCTTGTAAGACTTACAAACGATCATTTACAGTCTGTGTAGAAGGTAATATTGGAAGTGGGAAAACTACCTTTTTAAATCATTTCAAAAGTTATGATAATACAGTTGTCTTACAAGAACCAGTTGAACTATGGCGCGACGTTGCAGGAGTAAACCTATTAGTTAGTCATTTTAATATTATTAATAGAGTGTCACGAATATATTTTGATAATATGATATTAAATTAATAATTACATTTTTAGGAACTTATGTATAAGGATCCAAAACGTTATGCTTTCATATTCCAATCTAATGTACAATTGACAATGCTTCAATTGCATACTTATAAGACACAATTACCTTACAAAGTCATGGAGAGATCAGTTTACTCTGCAAGGTTATTTATAGAAAACATGAAACGTAGTAAAATATTACAAGACGTTGAAGTTGTAGTATTAGAAGAGTGGTTTGACTGGTTTATAAAAAATGCTAACATAGAAACGGATTTAATAAGTAAGATTGATATAAATCTATTTTACATTGAGATAATAAGGATATATTTTAACTTATTTGTCATTTATTATTTTTATTAATCAATACTATTTTTTTATTATCTAGTATATTTAAGAACCAGTCCAGAAATTGTTAACCAAAGAATGCGTATAAGAGCTCGTAAGGAGGAAAATTTGGTGTCATTAGAATACCTGAAACGTATTCATGAAATACATGATGAATGGCTACTATACCAAAGCTTGTTCTCTTTGCCAGCACCAGTTATTATATTAGATGGAAATAAGAGTACTGAAGAGATGGTAATTGAATTTGAAAAATGCAAAAATGTAATTTTTACTCAACGAAAAGAAAGTGAAAATTGAATAATAAGTGCAACTACTGCAGCCACATGTTAAAAAAAATAAAAACAGTAGATATGTAAATAAAATATAATTATTCTATTTTAGCAGTTAACTGTACAAAATATTTAATATTTTCTTTTTTGTTATAAATATATAATATAATATAAGAATGCGAATTTTAATGATAAATACAATCTCCATTTTCTCTTATTAAATGTAAACATGTAAAAAAATCTCGATTTCATTATTAATAGTACGACAATACAAATTGTGGTACAATCAATCATACAAGAGTTTTTACAAATAGAGTTTTACAAATACAGTTTTTACACGAGAGATCATATATTAGTACATCAGATTATGAACTGAGATGAGTTTTTTTGTTAGACAATAAAATCATAAATTTACATAGAACTTTATATTCCATTGTTTAATTTATATTTGAATACGTGTGTGCGTCTTGCTTGGATATGAGAGCACAGTTGTGTATGTATGTATGTAAATATATATATATATATAAAACATACAAAATATATATATATATATATATAACACTTTTATAACTAAAATAATTAATTTTTATTCATTATTTCATTTAATAAACACATAGTGGTATCGCTGACATGTTTACATATGTTACATTTTTGTATAAGTTATTATACATTATATCCTTATAATGAAATCAACAATTATAGAGAGGTAACGATGCTAAACAGAGGGTATAAAATATATATACAATGGTGTTAAATGACAGGCTAAACGAAGAAATAAAAGGGAAAAAGATACTGCTAGAGACACAAATAGGATTCAGGAAAAACAGAAATACAATAGAAAACATATAGATCTAACAGCATATGATAGAAAAGAAATTAAATAAAGAAAGAGAGAATTAATGGCATTTCTTAGATTTAAGAACACCATTTAATACAGTAAACAGAGAAGTACTGAGAAAGTTAAAGGGAAAGGCAGAAATAAGAAGGGACCTAATTTAGAGAAAAAGGAAATTTTCATAGAAATAAAAAACAAGATAAAAATAGTTTAAGAGAAAAGTCAGAAAACTTCTAAATAAATGAAGAAGTTTTGCAAGAATGCCTCATGAGATCAAATCTTTTTACAATACTGATTGTAGATTTAAAAGAAATATTAAGGAAAAGATAAGAAAAAACGAATGGCGTGTATAAAAGAAACGATGAGAGATTCGAAAGGAAAAAATTGAAATTGTACGACAAAAGATCAAAAATTATTAGACAGTAAATAATATTGAGAAAGTCAAAATATTTACATATATAGGGGAAAAGAAAAAGTTGAAATCATGGCTGGCACACGTCGAAGAATGTGGTTACAGTCAAATAAGAGTAGAACAGCAATTGAACAAAGAGAAAAAATTAAAAACAATACTGAAAGAAAAGTATGATAAAAATTGAATCATTAGAATAAAATATAAACTACTAAACTATATCACAAGATATAAAGTATCATGCGTACTTTAAAGTTTAAAGTACACTTAAAAGTACCAAAGAGTTCCTTTTAGGAACATTGTATTAAACGAAATTAGATTAAGTTTATTTTAAGTTAAAAAAGACTGTAACTAATTTATGAGTTATAAAATTAATAGTTTATATGTTTGTATTTTGTAATATCGAGTCCTTTTTCTTGGCTTATTGGGCCATAATGAATAATATTAAATATATTATATTCTTATAAAAAAGACTAAAAAATAAAAATGCTATGGGACGCATTCATTATTACATATGCTAATCTTATTAATTTATTTAGAAAACTCGATCTTGATATCCACTATCGGCCATACTTGAACTAGGTTTTGTCGGACCACCTGGTACTTGATGATGAGGATGTCGCATATGACCTGGTCGTCTTGGTGGTGCTAGATATTCAAACATACTTTGTGTATGTTGTGCTAACATTTTACTGAGATCACAAGGCATTGGATCAGTCCAGAAGAAGTCGTGATTTAAAGCAGAATCAGAATCGTATCTTTTACTAGGATCAAGGATAAGAAGTTTATCCAACAAGTCACATGCGTACGGATCTTTTAAATATGGCTTCAGTCTATCTTTAACCTAAAAATTAAAACAAATATTAATTCAATATAATTTTAATAAATTGCACATATCTTTTTATTTCTTGAATTATCTCAGCTTACTTTTCTTTTCTGCCCTTTGGGTAGATCCATTTTATTAAATAATTCTAAACGTTCTACTCCTGGCCAAACTTCAGTCGTTATAGAACCACATAATTGTGAAATTAATATTAATTGTTGTTGTTCTGTATTACCTTGCATTATAGGCGATCTTCAAATTAATTAAAATAATATCCACACTTGTTAATGCACGCACTCATAAACTAATTTAGAATATCATTCATATTTTATTAATTAATTTATGAATATACCTTGTCCACATTTCAGCCATTATACATCCGGCGCCCCATAAATCTACTGGTGGGCCATAATTTCTATCTCCTAATAATAACTCCGGAGGCCTGTACCAAAGAGTAACAACTCTATTTGTGTAACGATTTGGTTGACCATTCTTACTAGTGCTAAATGCTCTTGCTAAACCAAAATCAGCCAGTTTTAATATGCCATTTTTTGTAATTAAAACATTCGCAGCCTTCATATCTCTATGTAAAATCTGGAAGTAGTTGATTAATAATGAACTTCTCATTATTTGATATACCTATATCAAATATCATTTCTATGTAAACTTACCTTATTACTATGAATATAATACAGGCCATTTAACAATTGCTGCATGACCTTTTTAATTTCTCCTAAACTAAATTTAACATTTACATTGGATAACAAACCAGCAAGATCATGTTCGCAAAAATCAAATACGAGGTAAAAAGTAGACCGATATCGATTGTACTGTGTCGCTGCAAAAGTTCCTAGTTATATTTTATACACCTTGATGTACATAAAGTAAATGAAAAAGTATAAAAAAAAATTCTTACCTCTTGTTCTACAAATTTCTATAAGATTCACTACATTTTCATGCTTCAATAATTGTAATATTCTTATTTCTCTTAGTGCAGTTATAGGAAACTGAAAAAAGAAATAGGATCGTACTTATTAATACTTTATAAATTCTGAAAATATAGAATTATTTATAAATATACTGATATGTTTTGTTTTATATACTCATTTAGACGGCAGAAATAAATTTAGTTTATTTATTTATTCATACAATTACACGAGTCTATAAAGAAGAAATTTATAAAAAAAAATAACATAAATAATATGTTGACAATTTGTTAACATATTTTAACTCTTTGCAGTCAAACTTCCAGGTCATAAACGAAAATATTTGTTCATCCATTTACTTCATTGAAAACGAAAATTTTAAGGAAAACGATATTTTCTGATATAAATGTATATCAATGTTCTAAGAAGTTATTGGTAGTAATAAAAAAAAACGCGCATTCTAAAGATCTACGGCATTTTTTCATAAAATAAAATATAATGAATCCAAAATGTTCTCATTCTATACATACCCCTTCTTTCTCATTATCCATCAAAACTTTTTTCATAGCTACGAATTTTTTATTAGTTTTTTTATCCCTCGCTTTGAAAACTTCTCTATAATTCAATAAAAAATGTAAAATATTAAACGTTTTTAAAGAATACACATGACCTAACCTAAAGATTGAAATAACAAAATGTAAAAATTTTACCCGAAAGTACCCTGGCCAATTTTTGCGACTTTTTCATATTTAGAAGATTCATCGCAATGAGGAAAATCAAATTCTTCGATATATTTTTCTTTTTCTTTTGTATTCATATTGTTTGCTCCAAACAAAAAATAATACAAAACATTAATTCACAAAACTCGTAACACTGATGTTTTGATATATAGCTATAGCTTTAAAAATTTAGTATTACTTGTAAAGGGAACTCAAGCTTCCCGTAACCTCTTAATTTATTGGACAAAAGTAGTTCATTCTGATTCGTCCATATACTATTTCCAGCTTATTAAAGACAATTTATTAATTGTAAAAAACTAAATTAATTTTTAACAGTAAAAAACTAATATAATCCCCTATTTTTTACAATAATAAAAACTAAGGGATTTCATTTATAAAATTAATCAATTATTATGTATTATCAAAAATTGTCAGAAACGTTCTTTGAGTATATGGCTTTATGATGTTTTATTATTCACTATAAGTTATTGATAATCTTTTATTATACAATATGAAGTAAAATATTCGATCTTGTTAATGTAGTTATTTGTAGAAGTAAATATTTAAGGTTCATGAAAATAAATATTTAATATTAATAACAGTATTATAATTTTTACAATGGGCCTTTTAGGTATGGTTAGTATAAATTTTGGCGCCATAAGTATGGTACAATAAATTGTATATGAATATTTTTTATTTATTTGTAGTTGGTTTATATTGTTTGAAAACGTACAAAATAGTGTAATTTTTATATAATATATTGTATTGATTATATGTAGTATTTTAACAAAAGTGAATTTTTAATTTCATATAATTTTTAATATCGTCCTTGAAAAAAATTTTGTTTTAAATATATATATAAGGTTAATATGTTATTTTAGATTACCAACTTCTTTTATTTAAGTATGTCTCATATATATATTGTTAAAAATGATCTAAACACCATGACAACGGTTACAATATAATTGTATAATATAACAATATAAACAAAATGATTATTTTGTTTCAGTCAAACGAATTACTAGTATATTAAGAATAATGTCTAGAACTCCTTGTAAGACTTACAAACGACCATTTACAGTCTGTGTAGAAGGTAATATTGGAAGTGGGAAAACTACTTTTTTAAATCATTTCAAAAGTTATGATAATACAGTTGTCTTACAAGAACCAGTTGAACTATGGCGCGACGTTGCAGGAGTAAACCTATTAGTTAGTCATTTTAATATTATTAATAGAGTGTCACGAATATATTTTGATAATATGATATTAAATTAATAATTACATTTTTAGGAACTTATGTATAAGGATCCAAAACGTTATGCTTTCATATTCCAATCTAATGTACAATTGACAATGCTTCAATTGCATACTTATAAGACACAATTACCTTACAAAGTCATGGAGAGATCAGTTTACTCTGCAAGATTATTTATAGAAAACATGAAACGTAATAAAATATTACAAGACGTTGAAGTTGTAGTATTAGAAGAATGGTTTGACTGGTGTATAAAAAATGCTAACATAGAAACGGATTTAATAAGTAAGATTGATATAAATTTATTTTACATTGAAATAATAAGGATATATTTTAACTTATTTGTCATTTATTATTTTTATTAATCAATACTATTTTTTTATTATCTAGTATATTTAAGAACCAGTCCAGAAATTGTTAACCAAAGAATGCGTATAAGAGCTCGTAAGGAGGAAAATTTGGTGTCATTAGAATACCTGAAACGTATTCATGAAATACATGATGAATGGCTACTATACCAAAGCTTGTTCTCTTTGCCAGCACCAGTTATTATATTAGATGGAAATAAGAGTACTGAAGAGATGGTAATTGAATTTGAAAAATGCAAAAATGTAATTTTTACTCAACGAAAAGAAGGTGAAAATTGAATAATAAGTGCAACTACCTCGCCCACATGTTAAAAAAAGTAAAAACAGTAGATACATAACTAAAATATAAGTATTCTATTTCGGCATTTAACTGTACAAAGTATTTAATATTATTTTCCCTTTTGTTATAAATATATAATATAATATAAGAATTGTAATAATACATACAATCTTCATTTTCTCTTGTCAAATGTAAACATTTAAAAAAATATATATTTTTGATTTATAATGAAAATATGTTTATTTTGAAATTAATAGATATTTTGAGACTGTTGTCTTTTTTGCTATTTAATATCTTTTATTAAGACTGTTCACTGTACAAAAACATCGAAAATCTTTCTTTCCATATGACTAACCTTAAAAAATGTCTACTTTCGATAATTTTACAATAATTATTAATTTTAATGATTACCGCGTTAATTTTCTTTTACAATTTGAAATAATTTTAATATAAAATTCCAATACTTTAAAATCTTAATCTCGGGGTAATTGACCTTGAATAATATAAACATATACGATCTTTTTATTAACTTAAATATTTAAAGTAAACATATTTTTATATTACACGTGTCTTCAATTATTTATACAGTTTCTTATTATAACAGCGATACTAATAATTTCGTTTTTGTTTTGCTTTTTTAAAACATTATTGCAATTGCGCGCGTAGCAATGATGTAATCGAACTTTTTTTTCTCTAAAATAAAAATATCGCGAAGTAGAAGTAGCATTTGTTTGTTCGCGTTTCACGATTTAAACAGCAAGTGTTTTTGCATTACAATGCAATTTGCGTACAATGCAATTTGTTAGTGTCAATATAATATATTCAGGAAAAATAATTGCTTTCTTAACAGTCGCATGGACTATATTTATAAAAGATAATAGAGTACCACGAATTAATTTCAGAGATCTTTAAAAAATAACTATTGTGTAATAGAGTCAGTGCATCATTGAAGAGGATCTCGTTCAATTTTTATGTTGATCTACCTCATTCTCAATCAATTACAAATCATCCACCTTCAATTTCGATCTAAATCGCGGACAAGTCTTTTGGAACCATCGCGGAACTTTTTAAGTTTCCTTCTATTAGGGATTTAGTTTTATTTGCTCGAAAATTTGATTGAATTACCTTGCAATCGCAAATTTTAGAGTAGAGTCACCGTTAGCCCGTAAGTCTTCGGATGTAGTAACCTCTATGTGGTTAGACATGGGTTGGTATTACTTGTCATATCTAGATTACAAAAAACAAGTACTACCAAGTGAATGGCTGTATATTTCAATGGAAATAAAGTCATGTTTTGATAATAAAGTAATATGTAATATATAAGTATTCACTAATTATTATTTTTTGACAAAATAATCTATAAAATTATCAAATGAGTTACGTGACCATCGTGAAATGCATTTCTTTATATTTCAAATAGATTTTTAATTATTGAAAAAGTTCCAATATCAATTTATGCACAAAAAGGAGCAGGTTAGTTCATGGAAACAAAATATACATTACTCAAGTGTATATATGAAAATGTGTAATGAGGTTAGGAGTTACGTTTTTTTTTTCACTTAAGATTTCAAAAGGCGTCCCTATATGAAATTTATTTTCCACGAAAAATATCGAAAACTAAGTTTACATTAACAATAAACACAAGTCTAATTCTTGATTGATCGTAATGAACTCATTTTCAAAGTCTCCTTTTAAAAATGAAAATTTACATATAGAGGTTTTTTTAAATTTTTAAACAATTTTTATTTTTATACATTATTTATTTTCGAAGTCAGCATTTTTTTTTTAATGAATATAAGGCTTTTTCAAAAATTATAATCAAAAGAGTTATAATATCAATATGAAAGAAACATAAACGTAATTTATTGGAACATATGATTTAAATAACTCTTTATTAATAATATTTACGATAAAACATTAGTAAAATAAAGTAACTAGATCACAGATCCGGTAAAATTACGATAACTTACTGTTACAGTAAATTATATAGAGATTTTTTTAATAAAAATATCTCGTTAATCTTTGATAAAAATAAGATCCGTACATATAAAATATAGTATGAGCATAGAATAGATATTACAAATATATCATATATATATATATATATATCTTTGATGAAACTTTGTCCATTAAATCAGACTTATATTAATGTGGAATTGTAAATTAATATAAAAATATATTATACTAATAAGTTATTCCTTATTCGACACAACTTCGCATTCATATTTACAAATATTACATATCATTTTGTTATGATCGTTTCGTACGTGCATTGGCTAATCGTTCTGCACAATCATACTCTTGAGAAAGCCATAAAACATGTATTAAATTTCCAATGTGTGCGTCTTTCGCGTTAGCCTGTTTCCAATCTAGAAGTAATTGATATATTACCTGAAAAACAAATATATATTTTTGTTAGAGAAAAGAAATTAAATGGAAATAAATAATAATAATAGTAATAATAAAAATAATAAAAATAAAGAAATTATTTTTCATAAAGGCTTACCTCATCTATACCTTCATCTCGATAATTTTCTTCGAATTGTTCGATTTGACCGTCTGAATAAAAAAGTCTTCTGGCGACATCTTTCCAACCATGACCGAGATGAGTTTTGATCAAGAACATATCTTCAAAAGTGATTTCGTCATAACACCTGGTCAACAATTCGACGTTTTCTGGCATTAATCGTGATTTGGATTTTGACCAATTAGCATCCGTCGGGACAGACTTATTTGTCGAGAAATTATTAATATTACAGATATAACTAGTCCTTGCTCCAATTTTTACTCCATTCGAATTAACGATATTGTAATTGATAATGTTAGCCGATTGTGCTGTAAATAAAAAAACATATATTTTATATGTACATAAGAGAAGGATCAATTTACATATAATAGTTTAGGATTGATTCGATGATGTTTCAATGTCATCGCAGCAACAGATACTATTATCGATCCTTGAAATATACATTAAGTAGCTGATGTCACTATCGGTTTTGTTTGCATGATTAAAGGATTATATTATCAGGATAATCTGCTGGTGGTCTTATCGAATGTTTAAATAAAAATGTGGATAGTCGTCTGAACTGTTATCGAATATGTCATGACTTTTTGAAACGTTTAGCACAACTTTTATATTCATTAAAATAACATTAAATACGCATCACTGGCCTAAATATTATCATATTTATCGTACTAATTACTTTCGGTTATTCATCTATCTGTTATAAAGCCTATTAATTATTTACTCTTAGAAAT